GGGGGGGGGGGGGGGTTGAGCATGCACACGTGTGTGTGCTCGCACATACATGTATGTGGGGGGAGAAAAAAGTGAGGAATTAATCAATCATTTTTTAAGGGAAATAGGACATTTCTAGTCAGACAACACCCACATAATTCACCCTACAATCTATCACAAAATCTCCCCTCAGCAAATGCACTTCTTGTAATCAATTGATATTCTTCCCCCTGTAGTGCTGAGGAAAAACAAGTGAGAATGAACTTAAACAGCAAAAATTAAATAATTTTGAGCTACACTGAGAAATGGAAAAGACTTGAAGACAGAGTCTACCCTGGACTAGAATCCAAGAAGAAAGTATTTGATTTACTCTAAAATTTGTGCAGAGAACTCAAAACCCCAAAACAAACCTAGAAAGATTGATGCAAATAGATTAAAAAGTGACCTGGCAGATAGCCCCAGCAGCAGATTCAGAAAAAAGGTTGATAAATTAGTGAAGATTTCACAGCATTTAGACCTAGAAACGAAAGAGACCAAATGAAGTTAAGGCTTTGAAGTAATCCAGAACTCCAGGAGGCAGAAAGTTCTAAAATCAACTGGAATCAGTTTGAGAAATGGGTTATGCAACCCGTAAGTTTGTTTATGGGTGGGCAGAACCTCTGTTGCAGTTACACGGACTGTACAACCTGAAAAAAAGCTGTACCTATTCTTTGATCAGAGTTTTCCTGTAGCATTCCTGGGTAAGACTGGGGTACAAAACTATAGATGGATAGTCATCCAAGTACAGAAACCAAGGAGAAAGAAAAAAGATTGTTTGGTACGTAAGAAAGAACTTATTTGCTACAAAGAATAATGTGCTATGGGCTGAATGCAAATCAGAAAATCAGGAATTCATCTGAGACAAGTGGCTGAAGAAACTGGAGAAAGATATTTTAAAAGAACTGACCTCCTCTGTTGTCAGTTAGACTGTCACTGCCAGACACCTGTTATGCCACCTTGCTACTGAAGTCTCTCCATATTTCAACCAACATATACCACCATACAGCAATCATCTACAACCCCTTGACCTGTCAAGGCATACTAATTGTTGAAGTAAACTCAATTTTGTTTCCAACTTTGTAACCTAATCCTCCTATGCCTATCATTTCCATTTTATCCGTCACTCAAGTCATGCCTTTAAGTAAACTACTGTATTTATTTGCATACCGCACATGCTTGAAGAAGGTGCGCACACACCTCTTTTTGGGAATGCAGAATGAAGAAAAAACAATTTTTTCCAGAGTGCCCCCTGACGTGGTTCCAACTTCGTAACCTAGTCCACCTATGCCTATCATTTCTATTTTATTCTTCATTCAAGTCACACCTTCAAGTAAACTACCATATTTATTTTCATACAACATATCCCTGAAAAAGACAAGCATGCACCTTGTTTTGGAAAGGCAGAATGAAGAAAACAAAAGATTTTTCCAGGGTGGCCCTGGACATGGTAACAAGGCTGAACCCTCTGGCTGAATGGAACAGGGGTTGATTCCAGCTGTCACTTACTCTCCTTTGCCCTGCAGCTCAGCCAACAGCTAGTGCCAATTGGGCAGTGACTGCCAAAGGAGTAAACCTGTAGCTGTTGGCCCTGCAGAAAGGGGACAGGGTATGGCACTGATCAGACCCCTGCTCTATGCAGCCAAAGGTTTCAGCCCTGGCTGGAATAGAGCTGAGCACAGCCTGTTGCCACCCTTCTAACATCCCCCCCTGCTGCCACTTCCATGCAGGAATCACTTTCTTTGCTTAAGATACCTGCCCTCATTTCAGGTGGTCAAGTTTCAGGGGGAAAGTTGTATGTGATATGTGCATAAAATGTGGTAACTTCTTCAGGGTAGCAACAGTGTTACTATAAAGTCTATGAAACACCTACCTCACTTTTTTCATGGAAGTCAAAGCAGAACATAGAACATCAAAACAAACATACACCATCTTGCAAGTGTCAAAAGGAGGTTAAACATTTTTATTTTAAGGAAGCACAGCAGATTCTAGAGATGAGGTAAGGCAGTGACGGCCAACCTTTCTGGCAAGTGCGCCACAAATTAGCCCCATAGCCTCCCCAAGTGCCACTCCAATCCTTTTCCCTTACTCCTTCTCCCATACCAATCTGCTGCTCTACTGTCTACTCCCTACCCTATCCACCACTGTGCTGCTTGCCCCCTCCCAAACCTGCTACATGCTAAGCACAGGCTGTCTGTGACACTTATGGCACCAATGTCATAGGTTGGCTACCGCTGGGGTAAGGTACTTGAGGCAAACAAATTACTGACTGTGGCAGATGTGTAGGGATACACTGTTTGGAAAGAAAAACAAATCAGGGGAGAAGGGGATTGAGAAAACAAGATACTGTCTTCAGGGACTGGATATCAAGGGTCTCAGAGACCAAGAATAGTGGAGATGTACATAACCAGAGTGGGAGTATGGGATGAAGAATGCAACAGATTCTTTCTTCAATTGATGACTCCAGGGCATCTGTCCACAGAAGTAGTAGACATGTGTGTTGTATGCATTTGTAAAAGTGTAGATATTAAGACACTTTAGGAGGTGAGCTAGAAAGAAAATACAGAAGTTTCACCAGCTCATCCCTAACTGCTGTAGAGCCCATAAATGCATAAGGATATAGAATAATTTTTCAAACTGTCACTGTTTATTTGAGAGGCTATACACCATGAGGAGCTTGAAAGTCCAGGAACCATTTCTTAGTCTCCTAATGAAGACAACATTTGAATAAAACCTGAAACACTGACTGGTACAAAGGAGGTGAATAATGCAAAACTGACACCTAAGTTAGATCAATCTACCAATTCCTTCTATAGCTCACCCACCCAGCTTTGAATCCATTAAAAATATATTAGAAATGAAGATTTTATTAAACATGCAAATAAACCTAATTTCAGTAATTGCTGGACGTGTCTATATGTGCATATCCATGCAA